CCCCAAAACCCCAAAACCCCAAAACCCCTTAGACTCTAAAGTGAGCTTAATCTATTGCTAAGTAATTAAGATATCTAAATATGATTATCAAAATAAGCCAACAGCATAATTTTATTAGCAATTATAATAGACTTAATTCATAAAATAAACCAAAGTATCTAGAAAAAAACATTTGTCAGCAATTGCCTCTCTTGTAGAGTTCCTTCTTTGATCTCTTTTTACCCTTAAACTAAAACTTGCTATCAAAGTTTTAATCATCATCTGAGTCATCACTATTTTAAACAACAGCAATCATACTCTCCACATATTGCTTTGTCCTTTCAAGCTTTTTAGAGCCGCCACAAGTGCATTTGAACTCTGTAAAAATTCTCAGTATTCTTTGACTCAATTCCGTCATTGTTCTGAAGTTTAACTCTTCAAATAACTTGAATTCTATTTAAATTAAAAATATATGAAATCAGCTTACACTTAAAGATGCAGCATTTAGTAATATGATAGTGAAGATTTTATTTTTTCATTAATTAGTCTATTAGCAGATGCTAAAATTTAGCAACTCTTTTAGGGTTATTACCCTTGCTTGGCTTAACCTCAATTAAATCACTACTTTCAAAAGTTGGGTCTAAGCTATCAACAATGTCCTATCTTTATTCTTCATCTATATAATAAGGGAGGTATAGCTGATTAAGAGGGAGTAGATTTTTTAAAGCTTCTGCTAATACGACGACTTGCCTTTGCAGAACTGATTTGAGATTGAGGTAGTCTAACTCAGGAATAATCTTGAATCCCATTAATTATGCCCCAACAAAGTGTTCTATGAGATTCATGTATTAAGTCTTTGGCAGCGATATTTCATGAATAAATCCTTGCTTTTTGAAGAATTAAATTGCATTGTTGTCAGCATAAGCTATAATATAAGAAATATCTTCTTTCTAAGCATAGGCTTTTAGATGATCCATTAGCTCATTCCCAAGACCCTGAATAATATCATTATCAAGTTTAATTATTCTCACCTGTCCTTATTAGGTTTTATCAATGCAAAAATAAACTAACTCAATAAAATTGTCTAGAAGGTAAGGTTTAAATAAACAGCCGCCCAGAACCTAATTATTTGTTATTTTTCTGTATTTTACTTTGTGATCATATTTTATAAGGATCGTCTTATAATCGAAGTTGAGTTACTTCTTGATCAGATAGGGTCTACCAATTCTAGGTAACTCACTGCAAACAATCTCTTTGAATTCAACAATTTCATGATAATTTTGATTTGTCAGAAAACCTCTACAATTATTTTTAACTCTACCAATAAAACTCACTCATTATAATCCCTTATTTCAAAAGTGACTGCCTTTGAATCTTTAGCCTCCTCATCAGAATCAACTTACTCTTATTTTATTAGTTTCGCACATGTAGGGGATTTAGCTATTAATTTAAGATTGCAAGATTAGTTACAGAAGACTGAATTGTTTTCTTTGTTTGAATCAGAATCTGATATAGTAATAGCATTGGTCCTCTTGACGTTAATTCTTCTTTGAGTTTTCCTTTCAAATGGGGTACTTTCAATACTTGCATTATCCTTTAAGTTGAATATTAATTTTTATTTCATACGCTTGAGTTATTTCCTTCTAAGAGAATCTTCTTCAGCATATCCTTCTATCTTCTGGTTCTCAGCATCCAACAATAATTCAGAATGAAAAATATTAAAGTAATAATTATAAATGAGATTTGATTCAATTAATCAAAATTTATTATATTTATCATATGATTGTCCTCTCGGGGTTTTGGGGTTTTGGGGTTTTGGGG